TTTTAAATTATAATTTTGTAAATGTAAAAGCATTTATTGGTTATAATTGAGCATATACATACATACATATATATATATATATATCATTTTCATATATCATGAATACTATGCACAATATTTATCTCGAATAGATTTAGTTGTTTGTATAATTAGTAGGCATAATAATTGTTTATGATCTTGAAACAATATTTTCAAGATTACAATAATCTTCTGTGACTAATTATATCGAGCAATTTACTTGATACAAAAATTTATTTGAATTTCAAGTACATCACTTAACAGAATATAGATAGTTGCTAAGTTTCATTTTTTCATACACGATATTTAAAATTTTAATTATTTGAACCATTCGCATGCGCGCGTATGGGTGTATGTGTTTTATATATTTAGTATTCACTGCATATAAATTCATTTTGGATGAAATAATATTATTTAAAAATTATTTGCTATTTTCTTGAAATAAGAATTGTTGAATACATGATATTCTGTTCTAAATAAATTTAAACATAATACACAGATTAAACATTGTTAAAGTGCAAATCTAATTACAATTAACATCGCACAAATTGCAATATTTCTAATAATGCTTGTAAGAACTTTTCGTTCCTCACTACACATTCGTGCAATTATAGGATGAAATAATATTATATGTATTTTACATATACAGGGTATCCCGTCACTACCGCATTATCTCTTAAAAACGTGTTCTTGAGATAATTTGGAGACAAAAATCCTAATACAAAAATGTTGAGGCTATAATATTTTTTAAATTAGTAGCGGTTAAAATTCTCGAATCACAAAGCTGACATTTCACGCGCTCAGGCATGTCGATATAACAAGTGTCGATATGACGTGATAAATGAATATAGTTACAAGTTTATTTTGACAGCTCGTAATATTTCATTACTGAAAATTAATATATTATAATATGTTTTAATATTAATTACGCTTACGTTATGCACAAATAGATTCTGTATAGAAGCAAAAATGATTTCTTAATGAAAATATCATTACATATTTGTATGATAATCTCGACGTTGTTGAGAGGGTGTGGTAATACCTTCATCATTTGTCATATCAATATGCCTGAGGGCGCGAAATGTCAGTTCTATGATTCAAGAACTTTAACCGCTATACTAGTTTAAAAACTTTTATAGCCTCAACATTTTTGTATTAGAATTTTCGTCTCCAAATTATCTCAAGAACACGTTCTTAAGAGAATGCGGTAGTGACGGGACACCCTGTATATACATATGTATGGTAATTTATTCTAATGAAAAATATAATCTAAACAGCTATATAAATATACATGTATACATGTATACATATATAATAAAATAAATATGTTGTATTGTATTTAACATCAATTAGACTAAATTGAACAACTTTTCTATAAGACACATATAATAGATGTAAAATGTATTAAGCACATTATACATTCTACTACTTTACGTGTTTTACTAAAAATTATATCTTAGCAGAGTAACGGATCGAGTGATTAAAATTGTAAATATTTTGTCACATTTCAAACTAATGTCTATTAATATAAAACTTTAGAACATTTCTAAATTCTGCGTGTTATATTTTTAACAGATATACTGAATTATATATAACGCAAGAACAATCTCGAATCAATGCGATGTTCACATGCTGTTTCATGCTATGAAATCAAAGTGTGATATTCCACTGTATGATATTCATATGTATGTTTGACATTAAGAGCTTATTATCGCGAATATTTGATCCTTGGATTGACTTGAATTTTTAATAATTGCAATGAGACAATTCAATCAAGATGATTTACCTTTTCGCATATGGCTACTGAGGCTGCATGAAACCTAGCTAGTCCGTGAAGCACCAATATGGAATGAGCTAAGTCGAGTGCAGACAGATCGACCATGCGAAAGCCGAGAGGTATGAGATCTTCGATCACCAGAAGTATTGGGTTCTCATTTTGCACGTATAAACCTTTCCCACTTAAACAGTGCTCTGGACTTAATAATTTATTCATTTTATCCAAAGTATTTAACATCATCGATACCTCGGTATGAAAGAAAGCTGATTGTATGAGCTGTAACAAATTTATTTAATTATGATATAAAGGTTTATAGAACAAAGAGAAAGTGTGTGTGACAGCAAGTTTCAGCTTACCAGATGGCAAATAAATAATAATTTTATCCACAATTAAAATTCGTTTTGAGCGGACTGAAAAATGTTTTCTCGAAATATATTTGCTTCTTTAAACTTGTCATAAAAAAAATTTTATGTTTAATTTCTGATTATTTACAAATACTTATATTAATTTTTTCGTTAAGTCCAAAATTCTACCAAAATAATAAAACTTGCTGCAGTTTTATCATTTTCATTTTTTCTCTTTTTTCCATCTTTTTCCTTATTTTTTTAGAAACATTGTATAAGTTAAATCAACTTACAATATTGTATCGAACACTTTCGATTGTGGGCGAAACTTTAACGATGATTGATTTCTTTTCTACAATCTTACGGCCGCTTTCTTCACGCAAAAATTCAGCAGTAATCCTGACAATATCGCAATTAAAGTTGTCACCCTTGTTTGAGCCCCGATTCGAAAATACATCGATCACTTGAATCGAATCGTCGCCTTCCGATTTTCGCAGAATCTTCTCCACGAAGCATTGATTCAGCCATGACGATGTGTTTAGGGCCATTTCTGAAATTAGAATTAGAATTGGAGGATTACTCCGTTAAATTATTATTCTTCGCGTCGTACGTGTTTCAAAACACAAAAGCATTCTTTGAATGATAATTTATTGCTCGCTACAAGATTTATCATTCTTCTATCTCTCTTTCCAGCCGGCATCCTCCGTTCAATTCTACCTTTCCACTTTTTTCACCATTTCTCTCATGTTTTGTTAATTGTTGATTCACAAATGACAGAATTTAGAGTTTTGAGAGAAGCAAGCTGTAACCATGGTGTAATAAAGATAGAGATGTGCTCTTGCACACGAAGAAGATTAACCAATGAAAATGGAACAAGTAGCTGGCCATTAGAGTGCGAATCAAGCATTTGCGTGGTCGAATCAAATCGAATCGAATATTTATAACATGTTCGAAATCGAATCGAATCGAATCGAATATTTATAACATGTTCGAAATCGAATCGAATTGAATCGAATATTTATAACATGTTCGAAATCGAATCGAATCGAATCGAATCTCTTTAATTCAAATACAAATCGAATCTGAATCAAATTTTCCCAAATTAGTATAATTACATATAATTACATACAAAAGTATAATTACATTCAGCAATCGATTCAAAATCGAACCATTTTTTATTCAAAATTCTCGAATTATTTGATTTCGAAACTTGCAGATTCGAAAACGAACTCGAATCGAATCTACTGTGATTCGATTCGGTTCGATTCGAAATCGAACTATTCGCACACCTCTACTGGTCATATTAATGTATCAGCCAATCAACGTGTTTTTCCGCGATTTTGAAAATGTGAGGTTTCTCTGTAGGAAGAGCATCAGGCAAAAGATTCTTGACTGTTGTTGGCGAATAATCCCTATAATATTCAGATTCTTTTTTGTAGCATGTTGAGAGAAAATTGAACAAATACGTGCAGAAACATTTTTATATTAAATAATTTTTCGAACAAATACATGATACATGAATTCGTTTGTAATTTTCTTTTTCCGAAAGAGAGCGGAGATCCATATCTGTAGATAAGGGAAAAAGCCTTTGTTGTGCGGCCGATCAAAAGTTTTAGTTTGGCCGAAAATTTTAAAATAAAATGTGACGCGTTGTCGCTCTCCAAAATTATTCTGTTTCCTCAGATTAATCAAATAATGTAGTTTTGTGTGCGTGCGTACGTGCGTGCGTGCGTGCGTGCGTGTGTGTGTGTGTGCGCGCGCGCGCGCGCGCGCGTGCGTGCGTGTGTGCTATTATCTTTCGTCTATACTTGAAATAATTATAAATCTATGAATCAGATAAACTAGATTAAAGAGAATTTCGATAGAATAGATCATATCAGCGTACGTTATACATATATATTGTAAATCATAATCGACATAAACATATACGGGTGTCCCAGAACTACCGTACCGCCTGCTAATATAACAGACTCCTGAAGTCATTTAGAGACGAAAAGTCTAATACCAAAATGTTAAGACTACAATAGCTTTCAAATGGCAAGCGTTTAAAGATATTCAATTAAGCTGTTAAAAATTCGCGCGTTTTAAGTTGCAGAACCTCGAAAATGTCGCTTACTGTTCAACATTTCAAACTTATAAAGTATGATGCTTTATTTAAATAGTAAATCAACGTAATATTAGATGTTTTAATTTAAAATTTTCATTAATAAAACCTAAATGTATATATTACACAAAAAAACAAAGTTGATAAAAATTAGTTATTTATCTACAACTGGCTCGTTTTCGATTTAATGAATCGTCAGCTTCTCTTAAATTTTCACTGTGCCGTTTCGTAAAGTCAACCGCAAATGATATTACTATCCTACAACGTTTACGTATGACTAAATATAAACTTGCTCGTCTTCGATTTGACAAATCGTTTACTTCAAAATATTCGCTTCACTGCGCCGTTTCGTAAAGCCAACTACAAATGAAATTACTATTCTACAACATCTATGTACGGATTTATTTAACATTACATGATAATCATGACGACATTTAATGATCTGCTTGTCACCATTTATTTATTTGATACATTTGCTTATTCATTCTGAGCCTTGGGAGAATAAATAAACTGAGAGGGTTGATCGACATTGAACTTATTCCGATTTCTATCAACAAAGCAGATACTACGTTAATCGAGATAACAGATTAATGATAAGATGATAACATGCAATCATAAACTGCAAATGTGACAAGTAATTACTGAATATGGCATTTATTATCCCACTTAATATTTAATTAAAACAAGTAAGGAACTTATTTCATTATGATAAACATTAAGGAAAATTAAAAAATGAATATATACACTTACCGTATTATCTTTATCTATATATATAGAAATGAATGTTTGTTTGTTTGTCCCGTATACGTTCGTAAACCATTCATCCGATTGCGATGAAACTTGGGTGAGTTGTTGTTCACACGCCCGTCAAGGTTTCAATGATTCGTTCGGGTCGCTACAATCGCTACAAGTGTGTGGACTAAAGGCCGTAGCTGGATAAGGAGGGGCAATCTGCCCCCGCGCCGATTTTTTAAATAATTCTATAATTTTAGTTAAACAAATAGTTCAGGTCATTAAAGGCAAAAAAACCCAAGTGCAAACTAAAACGCCAAGTTCACGCAACGTCTCACAGTGAGACTCTCACTTTGTCTTGCGAACCCTCCGCCACAGAATATTGTAGGATTTTAAAAGATCTATAGTTCTAGATGAATTCTAAAACGACTTCTGGCGATATAACTCGTTATTTTAAATTCATAAAAAATAAATGGCTTTAGATTACAAATAAGTTAACAACAAAAAAGCATGTCAGCCCCGCAAGATGTCCGTGTGTAAAACAATTTATAGAAAAACAAAATATAATAATACAATCGATATGATACATAAGCAAAAGTTTCGACCTTTTGTTTAGGTCATCTTTAATGCAAATTAATAACAGAAAAATAATTACAAAAAATGGAAGATTTATACAGCAAAACTCTAATATTCTATTATAATATCTATTATAATAATATATAATAGGTACCCTTAATCTCTCATATAAAATTCATACAAAAAAAAATTAGTTTTCTTAACTATTTTATTATAATAATATTAATTTTTCAAAAATGTTTATCCTCAAATATGCCCTTTTTCGATTTTGAAGCTAAATGTAACGCCAATGGCATTACTCAATCCTAATGCTCATCTTTAAATATACTTTATTTTATCTTACATATATGACATAATTTTGGAAAGTATAGTTAGGGGGACAAAGCTCCTTCAGGATGAACAGAACACCTAAGTGTGTCGTTATTGAAAATTCCATATAAAATTACATTCTTTTAAGCCCTATACCTTTAAAACTATTAGAGCTTTCAAAAAACCGTCTTAAAGAGTTATGTGCGAGGGCTATGATAAAGACTAAAATAGTCAAATATGAGCTGATTTGGCAGAAGCCATAAAAACGGCCACAATGAAGAATTGGGTAAATTAATATTTTTTTTAACTAACAATAAGTTAAATTAAAGTTAACAATTTTAACAATTTAATTTACAATGAGCTAATAATATTATAGTAATTTCTAAATAATAGCCACAATGCTCTTTAAAAAAAAACATTAACATTTCATTAATATTGTAATTAATTTTAATGCATTTGTAATAATTAAATATATATAAGTTTATTAATTCTTTTTCAGATATCTGTATTATTTTTATTTTTAGTTAATTATTAAAAATCAAGTATACGTTAAAGGTCCAGTAAACCCCATTCATCATACAGTGGAATATTCTTTATCATAAATTTTTTAAACTCTTCACTTTTTAAGCCTGGATTAATCCAAGTACCAGTGGTTATCATGTCATCCAAATCTTTCGCTTCAGTCTTAGGGCACAGCATTAACGGTAAAACCGCGAAGGATGATACCATTTCGATGCCAGCTCTTCGCTTTATGGTATCCTTCAATTCCTTCATTGTGGGCGGCTGCGTCTTGCAGTTTAATTGTTTCATAGTCGTCGACAAGGTGCCAAGGTATTCGTTTAACAAAACATCTTTCTTGTTTTCAATGACATCAAAGGAAACACTTGAACCGAGAAAAAGTAGAAGATCGAGTGCCGGTGATGTGTAGAAACAGGCCTGGAAGTCCACCTATAATATCAAAGACACATGTTTAATCTATCGATTTCTTGACTTCCGAAAAGTGAATTGAAAATGAAATATGTGCACACGGAAAAAAAGTGGAACTCGTGTTTCAGAAATATTGACGAAAAGATTGAGAGTTTATCAGAACGACAGGAACGGACAAATGGCGAATATACAAATATACTACTTGAATAGGAACAAACTGGATTTATTACATTATTTATAATACACTGCACTATTAAGTCTACATTTCAAAATTACATTTTTTTTTAAGTAAAAAAGCAGGTATAGGCGCATTTATCGTCCAAGATACTATTGTACTAAATTAAGGAATTAAACCTATGTTGTATATGTCTTTGTATCTCTGTTGGACTTTCCTATACTAATCCAAATAGTAGTAATTTGAATTCTTTTTAAAAAAATTATGATACCATAAAATTGCCTAGTTCAATCCAAGTGATACATATTATTTGAATATTTTAAATGTATAAATGATTTGAATTCACATTTAAAATATCTTAATGAAAATAGACGTGATAATTATTGCACAGTATATTTAAAAAAAAAATTTAATCTCAGTAAACCATATATTTTAGGTATTTTGATTTTAATAATTGACACCTAGATACAATGTAATCACATAAAAATTGGACAATTTATATACGATAATCTGTTATCATGGCATATGTTCATGGCATATGTTCTCATGGCATATGTTCATGGCATATGTTTTTATAAAATGTATTTGAACGTACTTACAAAAATTTGATCAGTAGGATTGCTATCATTATCATATTTAAACAACATATTTTTCCAGTGAGCATCGCCGTGATTAATAACATTAAATTCATTCTCAGAGAGCTTGGCTGAATTTGTTGCTATTTGATACATGTGATCGGAGAGATTAGCAATCTTTTCCGAATATCTAAAAATTAAAGTCACATAAACATAAATTTGTACAGATAATAATCATGAAAATATTTATTCTAAACAGCGCAATTTATATTTACATTTGTTATTTTTTTCTTAATGTGTTCAGTCATTACACATTTAATATATCTATTTTATCTATTAATTTTATCTATTTTATCTATAATATATCTATTTAATATTTCTATATTTCACATTTAATATATCTAATTGTGTTATATTAAATAATATTGTTTTAGACAGAGTAAAACAAGAAATGTCGTTCACAGTATGTATAAAACTTACTTTTTCACTTCTGGCCAGTTTATAATTTCCTCTGATAAAGCTTTAGTACCCTTATTAACAACATTTTTCTGTTCTATTGGATTCTGATTGTAAAATAATCCTCTCGTATACATTTCCTTTTGCTTGGGGTCCTAAAATATTAAAATATTTTTATTCAAGAACGTTGATGTTTATTTGATTAAACATAAAATTAAGTATTAACTAATAATATGTTTGTACTGCGGACTGATAATTTAGAATGTTTTACAAGATGAAGACTATACAAAAACGGAAAAACTCAATACCAATCATTTTATTTCAACTTTAAATAATTAAATAATTTCATATAACTATATATAAATTTAAATTATAATTTTGTAAATGTAAAAGTATTTATTAGTTATTATTAATTGAACATATACATATATATCCTTTTCATGAATGTTATGCACGACATTTATTTTTAATAGATTTAGTTGCTTGTATAATTAGTGGGCATAATAATTTTTTATGATCTTAAAACAATATTTTTAAGATTATGATAATCTTGTGACTAATTATTACGATTTACTTAATACAATTTACTTGATACAAAAATTTATTTGAGTTTTAAGTGCGTCACTTAACAGAATATAGATAGTTGCTAAATTTTATTATTTTATACACGTTATTTAAAATTTTAATTATTTGAACTATACGTATGCGCGCGTGCGTATGTATTTATGTTTTATATTTAGTATTAACTGCATATGAATTCATTTTGGATAAAATAATATTATTTAAAAATTATTTTCTATTTTCTTGAAATAAGGGTTGTTGAATGTATAATATTCGATTCTAAATAAATTTAAACATAATACATAAGTGTTGAACATTGTTAGAGTGCAAATCTAATTACAATTAACATCGCACAAATTGTAATATTTCTAGTAATGTTTCCAAGAACTTTCCACTCTTCGCAACACATTCATGCAATTATAGAATAAAATAATATATGTATTTTACCTACACAGGGTATCCCGTCATTACCGCATTATCTCTTAAGCACGTATTTTTTAAATAATTTGGAGACAAAAATTCTAATACGAAAATGTTGAGACTTAAATAATTTTTAAATTAGTACCAATTAAAGTTCTCAAATTACAAAGCTGACATATCGCGCGCTTATTCATGTGTATTATGTTTGATATTAAGAGTTTATTATTGCGAATATTTGATCCTGGGATTGACTCGAATTTTTAATAATTGCAATTCAATCGAGATGATTTACCTTTTCGCATATGACTACTGAGGCTGCATGAAACCTGGCTAGTCCGTGAAGCGCCAATATGGAATGAGCTAAGTCGAGACCATACAAATCAGTCATACGAAAACCGAGAGGCATGAGATCTTCTATCACCAGAAGTATTGGATTTTCATTTTGAACGTATAAACCTTTCCCACTCAGACGGTACTTTGGACCTAATAATTTATTCATTTTATCCAAAGTATTTAACATCATCGATTCCTCGGTATGAAAGAAACCTGATTGTGTGAACTGTAACAAGTTTATTTAATTATGATATAAAGGTTTATGGAACAAAGAGAACGTGTGTGTGATAGCAAATTTTGGCTTACCGGATGGCAAATAAATAATAATTTTATCCACAATTAAAATTCATCTTGAAACGACTAAAAAATTTTCTCGAATATTTGCTTCTTTAAACTTAAGTCATAAAAATAATTTTATGTTTAATTTCTGAATACTTACAAATACTTTATACTAACTTTTTCGTTAAGTCGAAAATTTTACTAAAATAATAAAACTTACAGTTTCATCATTTTTATTTTTTCTCTTTCTTTCCCTCTTTTCTTTCTTATTTTTTTTTAGAAACATTGTATGAGTTAAATCAACTTACAATATTGTATCGAACACTGTCGATTGTGGGTGAAACTTTAACGATGATTGATTTCTTTTCTACAATCTTACGGCCGCTTTCTTCACGCGAAAATTCAGCAGTAATCCTGACAATATCGCAAGTATAGTTGTCACCTTTGTTCGAGCCCCAATTCGAAAATACATCTATCACTTGAATCGAATTGTCGCCTTCCGATTTTCGCAAAATCTTCTCCACGAAACATTGATCCAGCCATGACGATGTATTCAAGGCCATTTCTGAAATTAGAATTAGATTTGGAAAATTTCTCCGATAAATTATTGTTCTTCCCGTCGTGTTTCAAAAGCAGTTGCGAAAGCGTGTTACGAAAGCAGTCTTTACGATAACTTATTGCTCGCTACAAGATTCATCACTCTTCTATCTTTCTTTCCAGCC